GGTAGATAAGACCCAACCAATAGTTATGTGCGTCTGAGACGGATTGAGAACCACAGTTGCACGCATGGGTTAACCTCGCTCCGATAGGTGCTGCTAAGTTTGCCAGATAGTGACGATTTTATGTGCAACAGAACACCACTGTGAGCCTTTCAGTTTCGGTCGCATCGGAAACAAAAGTATCCTGACAACGCGACTTCTTGGGGTATGACATCGGAGTTCAACAAAGGCTCCGCAAGTCCTAAAACGTTTGACCGCTCGGAGCCAGTGAAACGGCACAGCTCGTCACATTTGTTCATTAGGCTGCACACGTTGGCGAGTGCCACACGGAGGTCTTGAGAGGTACCGCGGGACGTGCCTGAAGGTTGAGCAATCGGTTGATACGGGTTCCTACAACTTTCTTGATCACCCGAAAAGTTACAATGTGTTACTAACCTCCTTCTGTACGGCGTTTGATCTCCATGACCGCAAACTCCCAACGATCCCTACCTTTGGGTTCCAAGTCTTGGCGGATGTGAACTTCTATGCCTCTCAGGCTTGACAGACGAGACAGTACGAGCTGCAGCATATTATGATTTGCAAAGGTTATTCTCAGAGTTCGACATGATTGGTTAGTTTGCTGGACACGTCGGACTACTTGTTTAATCGTCACACTGTCTTCACCCACATGAGACCCTGGAGGAACGCAACATCGTGATCATAGCGTATGTGAACGTTTGTACCTTTTGACTCTGGTACGTGCAAGACCATGAAATTATGACGCCTCAGCGAAATTCGTGATGATCCTGTGGGAGCAGGACTAGAGGTGCTTATCGTTTTGGGATGTTGCTTACCAGCAGAAGGTGCCTGAACTCGACTGCCTGGGCCATTGCACTTTCGAGTGGTCTGTGGATCCACAGTGTTCAGAGGTTCACAGAAAGGCTTTGAGAAAATTATGGACCGAACAGTGAACTGGCATTTAGGAGGTTCCGAGCGTCTTTAATCCATGGGGAACATTGAACATGAGGCGCGGCAGGGGAGGATTATTATATATGCAACCAGTAAGCACGCATTTTCAGTAGACGCGTACGCGCGCTATACTAGTTGAGCTCCAGGTAATCGCTAATTTAAAGAAGCCACCCCCCCCCCAAGAGCCCACTGATATCCAGCTAGAATCTGATAAATCAGGAAACAGCAAGGCTCAAATGTGTGACAGCTCCCAAATGTGTCAAGCCACAATAGTCGTTTGTACTTCCGAGCTATGTTTTGCATCCTCGAAATTCAAAGTCTCTCTAACATGGTATGGACACACTACAGTACTGACTTTTGGTCGGGATCAGCTAGAAGTCGTCCAAAAATCCAAGCATCTGAGCAGCTATACTAGCATACGACGGGACCGAATATGAGATCACCAAACGTATAGCAAAAGCTCGAGGCGCTTTTGCTAACCATCGCTACCTATCGCGCCCGCGCGACATCGATCCCGCTCTGAAGGACAGAGTTTACAATGCTGCCGTACGTCCAACCCTACTGTACGGTTGCGAAATCTGATCCATGAAATCGACAAAAATAAAGTGGTTTGTTACATTCGACCATCGCTGCCTTCGTAGCTTAACTCACATTTGGTGGGAAAACCGCGTGAGCAATGAGCGCGTTAAGCGTCTCGTGCTGGAAGAGTGAGTGAACTGCTCAGCAGCATTATATCACACACCAGGTTCAGAGAATTGTGTCACGTGTTGCGCACATGAGCTCATCGACTCCCGCGACGTGCGTTTTTTGGCGACCGGAGTGTAAGTGGAAGAAGCCATGACGATCAATAGGAACGCGGAAACTGGCCTTGGTTGGAACATCTAGATCAGGGGTGTCCAAACTCTTTTCAACGAGAGCCACATTTTGTGAGGTAAAATTATATCGGACCATATGCAGTCTGACAAATTACACATGTACGAAAAATGTCCAAGCCTGAATTTAGTATTTCATGATGAGGTCGAGGGCCAGTTGAAATGCTAATGCGGGCCACATTTGGCCCGCGGACCGGACTTTGCACACCCCTGATCTAGACTAGTTGGTATGGGGTACGAAAGACGAGAAACATATTTGACTGGATATACTTGTTGGCATAGCTAAGCGCCGACCTCAGCGACGTTTGGGTTGTGCGTTTGTTTGTTCCTCCACCCCCCGCCAGGCCTTCCCCTATAGTCACTATCTCGCACCTGAAACACATAATGACATTGAGCACTCTACATCAGCTGTATTTTGATTTTTATATTGTCTGCTGTACTGTCTTTCAGTTCTTCGCATATTTGTCCTTTTGTATTACGGCACAATAGTCGAGGTGTTTTTCACCATTAGCTAACGTACAACGAGAAAGACGATGAGGTAACAACCTCCGCAAAGCTTTCTCATTCAGCCTGGCTTTCGTTTCATTTGTGGGAGTAAACTGATGGTATGAGGTCCTCAAAACAAAGCTTTATTCACTTGACAACAGTGGACTGCTCCCACAGACTCATGAGTTTGACAGGGGTTAATGCTACGTGAATTCGTAAAGAAACACCCACTATTACTTGTTCCCACAGACTTCAATTCACACATGCTATGCAACTTGGCCCAAGTCTGTGCATATATGCTCACTGACACCGGAACGCTGGGCAACTCTATCCCGCCGCGTAGTCAGTATCCTTGATAAGGATGTTCAATGAATTTTGAGACAGGAGTAATGCAATTATTGGGCTGCATGGGAAACCAACAAGCGAAAAATTGTGAGTAAAAGACGCGCAGAACTCATTGGGTAACGGAATTGACGAACAGCCATCGGACGAAACAGTCTCTTTAGTTCATCAATTAGTGTAAATAACCTGGCAGACAGCACACAGCTACGGAGGTTAAGGTGAGTTAGCTCGAAGTGCTGCTGTGAGTTAGTGCATATGTCGATGCTGGTGTGGAATAAAGAGGCTGCAGCTGGTAGTGGCGATACTCCAAGAACCTGAACTGGGGATAAGACTCGCGCCAAGTGTGGTTTGGTAGGCTGAACCGTTAGTTTAAGCGGATCTGCGATGATTCGTGCGACCAAATGCGGTGTATCTAGTTACTCTGCGTTAGATCAAAGTACGCGTGGCAACAATAACAATAGCAATAATAATGTACAAGGGAAACGTAAGGGCTATAGGGGCGAGGCCCTGGGAAGTAGATGTGACAAGATTCAGCGCAGAAGTGGTCCGGTGAACAAGTGAGAAATCTCGCTAGATAAGCTTCGTAAGAGCGTTTCGCTGGGTTAACGAACACTCCACTAGAGTATTATGCAATGCGGAAAACCTGCGGCTTTCAATTGTGGGACAGCAGACAATTTTGAAGAAACTGAGACCCGACGATTCCAGAAGAGTGGCTCTAATCGTGAGAATAGGGGTCACAGCCTCTGGGTTAGGGCTGACGTAAGAAGTTCAAGTTACCAGATGGATGTGTGCTTCGTCCGATTTCACACATGTGGATACCTCGAAAAGGACTGAGTTCATCATCTGAGTAGCGATGTTAGTAACTAAGTGGATAACTAAAATAAGGTGTATAATAGCGATGCGTGCGGCAGTGGAGGCTCATCATACACAACCAAACAGGCAGTGTTTCTTAAAGTGTGGTCTGCGGAATAAATAAAAATAATAAATAATGTGTCAGCTGTATGCCGTAACGGCGCTTCGCTGCCGCGCGACCACCACCAGTCTCGCGCGGGCTGAGTGTACCGCCAGGACGCCCACCCCTACTGCGGAATACTTTCAGGAGATCCACAGGAGTTCCCGAAATATTATAATTCCGTTTGAATGCTTTCTGGACGTGGTCATTTTATTTTTATAATTCGATAAGATCTCCTCAGTGAAAATTTGTTAACTCATATCTGACAGTCTACATTAGCTTCGCGATTGGCCAATGTAAAGCAAACACTTTCTAAGGGGGAATAATGGTTTGACAGAAGCCTAAAATGTCAGTGAACTAAGCTGTCAAATGTCAGAAAGATGTTGTGATAATCACTTGTGCTGTGATTGGTAGAAGTTGAGCGGGTCATTCTCACTGTCCACACAGGCTCACATAACTCAGGATTTGTCCCTCGGGGGGAGGACGCGAAAAGTAAATCAAGAGATACGACTCCATTTATATTCTGACTTATCACCATGACCATTCCACGGGACTTGTTAAGCTTTAACGTTTTTACCCGTATAAAACCATTGTCTCATTGGTTCTTTTTTGCCGTCATTTCGAGAGTTGTTATCATCGGAAATAGACCAATCGGAATGAGAGGCTTATTGGTTCGATCTCACTCAGGGAAGACCATAAGAGAATGGAGGGGGATTCGGTATTTGATGAATGTGCTCATTCGACTTTGCAAGTTAAATAGAAACTATCTTTGCGACGTTACAAATGGTGACCTTTCCGTTTCATTAATTTTATGCTATCTTTAAAGTTCGATTTATCAAAGTAACCAAACGTGAGGTTAGTTTTGCAAATCTTGGGTTTAATTATTTATGTTAATTTTAGTATTCGTTCATATAACATAAAGACTAGTTGTTCCCTGAAGACAAGATCATTGATAAATGTATCTGAGAAATATTCATCGTTTAATTCGTATGTTATAGTAGTTGGTATTACAAAGTGTCTGTGTTTGATTTCTGTCGCAGTGCTTCCCCAATTTGCCACAGCTTATCTGTGTAAAAGTGCAAATTCACAATTCATTATAGCCTAATCTTGTAGTTACACATTATCTCAGCGGGTTCGCCGTGCGAGCTCCCACAAAAAGGAGTCTACGGCCCAACGTTGAGAACCGCTGCTCAAAGGTTGCCGATTTCGACCTTAGGTGATCAAACTAGATACCTATCGGATATATTAGAAGAAAAGAGGAAACGACATCACTGCGAGATCACGAAAGGGATCATTGATGATGTGGTAATTTTCTCATCAGCTTAATGAATGTGCAGCAAAACTGGCTTGCACTTGCTTCCATTCGAGCAAATGGAAAGTGTATGAAAGAATGCGAAACGAACCGGCGAGGTTAGCAGCTTCCCACTCCAAACGATTTCTCTGGTTCCATCGCATGAGGTTCACCTGATGAACAGAATAAAAGAAGGCGGGTTCGCTTAATCGGTATTAAGTTGCAGAAGGCAAGATAGAACTGTGAGAAAGATTCGAGCATGAAACTTGACTTGAGGAAACAAAAATAGCAACTATCATCATGGTGGAGAGGAATGCATCTGACACAAGCACTATAAACGAGTGGAAAATAGAGGTCATATAAAGTGCAGCGAAGGGGAATCAAATATAAAAAGGAAGTGCAAGCAAACCATGAGTAATAAATGAACGCTCCTGACAGAGTAAGAACGAAAAAATAAGCAAAACCTGATCGCTAGGATGTATTATAACTGGCAAGTATACATCATATCATGATCCCTACCAAGTCAAGAAAATCGCCCATACAAAAAGCAAGATAAACAACCTGGTCAGACGAGCACACCTGAAGTGCCAATGCTGTGCAGTTGCGACCTAAACACAGTAAAGTAAAAACCTGGGGTATACGACCAGAAATCACGATAAGGCTGGAATTGGTAAAGATTTGTTACGCAAGCATTTCGCTGATAGCTGAGCAAATTAACATGGTAGTATTTCTGAGCAATAAAGGCAGACAGGATGTGAATACAGCGTACACGAATGCTGTGCCATCACCTCAAGTGAAGAAGTACGGGTATTAACAGTCGCTCCTAGAGACGCAATGTATATTTTCGTGACTGCTATGCACAAACTGTTTACAGAGCATGAGACGAACTGCTGAAGAAACATCACCCTGTGCGCATTTAGTGGACATGTGACCAGGCTAGGGCCACGGTAAGTGCACGTTGTTCGCACAGTTTCGGCTTTAGTTGCTTGGTCGCAATTGCTTCTGCTTTGGCCAGTAGGCGCTTTCTGAGTCCTTCGGTGCAGCATCTTGCTGCCACGTACAATATTTTGAAAGCCTCGTTCGTTTGTATGTTATCTCCACTAGCTACTGAGTGTTCTGGGATGGAGCTGTAGACATTCCTGGTGTTACCAAGCTGTATTGAGACAGAGCAATGTTCCGCTATCCGCTTTGACGGACGCCTGGTCATGTGTCCGAGGTGCTTCCCACCACAGGTGCAAGTGAACTGGTATAGGACACAGGATTCGGAATGAGCGGGAATTCCGTCTTTTAGGCGCTTAGTGATGAGCGGAAAGGTTTGGCATAAATGCGGACTCTGGCGGCCGGGTACGTTTGGTTTATCGCGAAAGTCGATTTGCTATTCACGAGTTCGAACTGTATGTCTCCTTTGAAATACGTTTGATGAAAGACATCTTTCCACCTCACGGTTATTTTCGGCTCAGGCTGAGCTCGGTGATGAGATAGTTTTTGGATAGAAGCAGTTGGGTACTAGTTGTTTTCTGAGGTCTTGTGTATGGAATTATGTTCCATTTCCAGTGTTTCAGGGCTTCAAAACCTTGTAGCCCGATAATGGAGAAAACGCACCAGCTTTCGTTAGTACTTTCTCGGTACAAACTGTGGAAATGCATGTACTAACCTACCCAGGTTTGCTTTTGGATAAACTTTCTTTCAAGCGATCCGTCCTCTCGTCGTTGCAGCAAAACATCCAAAAAGGCAGCTTACTGTCCGCTTCAATCTCACAAGGGAATTTCAACGATTGGTGAGCGTTGTCAAAGTTATACAACAGGTAAACATTACCGGTATGAGAGTCGCAAACAATTCACTTCCCATCAATGTATCGTTTGTAATAAGCAAGGGATACGATTAGGTGTCTGATAAATCCGCGTTCAATTTTTGCGAGAAAAATGTCTGCAAGCAAAGGTCCTAAGGGCGATCTCATCGCAACTCCGTCTACTTGTCTATAGTATTTTCCATCAAATAGGAACGTGAAACGCAGAATCAGCTTTCACATTACGAACCGGAATCAGAAGAACAATGTTGTTTTCTATTAGGTATTCACAGATGAAATTGACCGTTTCTAACAATGAAGAGAGATTCTACATCAACGGAGAGCATCAAATTTTCTTGTACGTTTAAGTTTTCTACCTGATGAACGAATGCGAATGTGTAACACAGTGTGACCGGACAATTCTTTACGTACTGGATCGAGAAGTTCTACAAGCCACTTGGCGACTGAGTGTGTAGCAGACCCCGACACATCAATCACTGGTCGTAGTGAGGTGTTAGGTTTGTAGACCTTTGGCATACCGTAGAGGCGAGGTGAATGTGAGCCATAACGCGTTAAGATGAATCAATAGCAGAAATCATTCCAGAGTGAAGAATTCTTTTCGATAAACTCTCATAGGAACCAAACGTTTATCTAGAACTGATTGGAGGGAAAGTGTCCACTCGAGCTGGGATAGACTTCTGGACTATTTTTGTTCGTTGCAATCAGCCGACAATTCAGATATGTCGACCAGCTATCCGGAAAAGCACCAGCCGTCCGTTTCGCCCTATTGGCGCTCATCAGTAGTGCGCATCCTTTGGTCCTCTGCGGAGGATCGAACCCATGACTGCTAGTGGCTCTTGCCAACTAGCCCGCATCTTATGCAACTGCGCCATGGAGGACGGTATCTGACTATCGTGAATTGTTAGCTAAATGCGATATGGCCCGACGCATCCTCCACTGCTATGCAGGCACCTGCCATGCAGATGGCAGCGGTCGGCCTTCCGGCGTCAGGACTTCCCGGTTACGGCAGCTATGAATCGACATAGCATTTTGTGGAATCCGTACGGGCGAGTTGGTATTACTTATGAATGGATTCCACAAAATGCTATGTCGATTCATAGCTGCCGTAACCGGGAAGTCCTGACGCCGGAAGGCCAACCGCTGTCATCTGCATGGCAGTGGAGGATGCGTCGGGCTATATCGCATTTAGCTAACAATTCACGATAGTCAGATGCCGTCCTCCATGGCGCAGTTGCATAAGATGCGGGCTAGTTGGCAAGAGCCACTAGCAGTCATGGGTTCGATCCTCCGCAGAGGACCAAAGGATGCGCACCACTGATGAGCGCCAATAGGACGAAACGGACGGCTGGTGCTTTTCCGGATAGCTGGTCGACATATCTGAATTGTCGGCTGATTGCGACGAACAAAAATAGTCACCAAAATCCTTCCATTCATATGTAAGACTTCTGGACTGTTTGAACGATTAAAATCGATAACTCGAGAAAGGGATCTAGATGGCATGGTAAGTGAGCTAAATAGATATGCATACAATACTCAGTAGTCTGAGGTAAGTAGGTAGGTAACGTAACAACCAAATAACTAAGTAGCAGTGTCCGTTGGCCAAGGTGGTAGTATCGGCCGTATGAATCGTTTTTGTACATATAATCCCGGCTTCAGATGGTGAATGTAGCTATCCTCGGCAATGGATAAAAGCTGTTTGCGGAATTCTTGGGTGTAGTGTTCAGGTAGTGAGTAAGTGACATTCTCTGAAGCTGTATGGCCACATTCAAGGCAGTGCGACATGATTGAGCTGTCTGAGGACCTCATTTCACCTTTGTAAAACCATGCCGGGATGTGTTCACGGATCATCTGAGATAGGCGCCACGTCGTGCGACCACGTATGGTGCACCACAGGAGCACGAGTACTGATAAACGATCAATGAACGGATCAACGACGGCAGTCTATCCTTCAAGGATTTTGTAAGCAACGGCTTGTTGTGAAAAACGATTCTCAGGCGGGCCGCGAAATAAGTTTTCGCAACAGCATCAGTTGCAGAATCACTCTTAAATGGGATACGTATGAAAAGCTTTTTCTTAGGAGCAATGCTCCCAGGTGGCTTTCGATTATGTTCCTTCAAATGTTTCATGATAATGCTGATGAGTAGTAGTGAGGATAAATTTTGCAGGACAACCATTTTCCCTGAGGGCGTCGCTGATGCTCTGTAATTCTTCGTTGATGGTATCAGGTGTACAAATACTGCGCGCCCTGAAGGCAAGGGATCTGATTAAACTCCGCTTATGCTGTAGAGGTACTGCGCTGTGAAAGTTAGTGTACTGCCCAATCCATGTGTGTTTTCTGTGTACCAATCTGCTGCATGATCCGTCCGAGTTACGGATAACCTCTACATCCAAGAAAGGTAACCGGTTAATCGCTCGAGTAAGGAGCTATCTATGTAGCTACCGCGTTTAAGCTCCTGCAATTGGTTGGTTATATTGATCGCGTCATGTGCTGTATTGTCCTTTTGTACTGAATCATGCACGAATTTGCTGGGATCCTGCAAGATGGTGTTCATCTTGGACATGTAGTCACACTTTCCCCTTATCCGGCTTAGAGAGAATAACCTCTGGATTGGATGTTAGTTCCGTTATTGCTTCTCGGTGTGAATTGGTGAATAATTTTGAGGTTTGTACCCTGCTGCTCCAGTATCTCTGTGATAGATGCATCAAAATGTTTCTGAAATAGTCAAAAGCTCGGGAGGACGTAGGTTTTAATTCGATCAGTTGATGTATTAAACTCCCGAACTGTGTCTCTAAATGCAATTGCGTTCTATGCGGTTGCGATGCACAGAATTTTGGTACCGATGACAGTAACGGGGTTTAGGAAACCAGTCCAGTATGCTCGACCTTACCACCTAAGCGCAGGTTACCGGAGTCAGCGGATCAGTTCGATCGAGAGAACGCGTGAACCCACCGGGAGACACAGCGATGGCTGGACAGCGAATCACGAGTGGCACACGTATCCAGAAACCGACAAACCGGATTGGACAATAGAACATAGAGGGCGCACTGGCAACACGAGAATCGCTATTAACGGCAAGTTTCAGAGTTCAAAGCCAAATATGAGCGGTCCAAAGAAATACGGCCAATCAGATGCCAAGCACGAAAGACGTGATCATTGCGCGAGACAGGAAGACAGCGACCGAAGAGGAATAACATAACCCAAAGAAATAAAAGCGGAACGCGACCAATGAGGTGAACCGAAAAACAGGAGACCCACTGAGAAGGCTCGAAGATTAACAGTGTTTATTTCTTTTAAATAGGCTACACTATACTGAATAAACGCCTGTTTTCCGCCCGCCGCCATCGTGACTTTTTGATCGTGTCCGT